CTCAAGGGTGGAGCTTGGCAACTTGAGGACATTTTCTAGAAGCAATTGCATGAAGACTTGCCCTCTCTGGGCCCCTGAAGCCATGAATTCTAGCCAGGGATGAAGACATGAGTATTCCCTGCAGACCCTGTGGGATCTTCCACGGAGTTAAGCCCCATTAGTCCTACAGCGAACCTCTCCTGCTCACTCCAACCCTCTGAGACTGACTGCTTTGGCGCGATGAGTGTGTGGTAAGACTGATAGGTCCTGTTGTGCTGGGCTCTGCTCTTCACATGGTGAGCTGCTGGGTTTCTTGGATACTTGGTTAAATGGAATGTGACCAAGATGACCAGGGATGCAGGGCCTCTGGATGATGGCAGCAGAAGTCAGACAGCAAAACAGAGTGTATCCTAGCGAGAAGTGCCTTGGGGCAAATTGTGCACAGGTGCTGGTCAGTCTCAGTGCCATTGTCAAACCCAGTCCTGCCTCCATCCTCTGCCTTGCCATGAGCACACCGAGCGTGACTGTGTTAAGTCTGACCCCGGTGTGGATGTGACCTTCACCTGAGTGTGACTTCCATGTGGCTGGTGGGAGGGGTTGGCTGCCACTAAAGCAGGCACTCTGTTCAGCTGTGGGGCTCCCTGGAGAATGTTAGTGTTTCCATGCTCTGACCCTGCGTGGGAAGGAGCAGGTCATCCTCTTACACCTTCTCCAGCCTCAGGTCACTTTACACTCCATCCTTCAGCATCCCCAGCATCTATCTGACTGAACCATTGACTCCTGAACAGTCCTGAAGAGATCGTGATCTCGGGGCACTGTCCCCTCCCTGATGGGTCAGCCGTAACGAGTGTGTACAGCCGTCCCCCTGAGATGATTTTGCTCCTCTATTGTGCCTGAGAATGCAATGATTTGGCCCTGTGGCCACTTCCAGATCCTGCCAGCATGGTGCACTGTGAATATGAGTCTGAGTCTTTTCACCCTATGCATTGGTCATGAGGCACTTCCATGAAAGCATGGACGTGGGCTGAGGAGGCGAACGCGGAAAATATGAGCCACCCTGTGGGTGACATATTGGTGCTTGGAGATGTGCTTAGGCCCAGGTCTGAATGAACTACTTTTACGTGATGATGATGTGGTATTGGGCGTGCCAACTTCAAAACTACATAGGTCCTGGAGTAGAATGTGGTTAGATCAACGCTCAGGTTCACGGACTTGGTCTTCAGTGGACAGACAGTAAATTCCAGTGAGAGCTTGACTCCCAAAACTATGGATCTGCTCTATGGATTCCAGACTGGAATACTTCGACAGGCTCCACAAGGATCCTGATGCGTAGAAGGCACTGGAGCTCATGGTAACTGGTCATGGAGCCTCAGAGCAGAGGTGTGGACTCTAGGGCGTTCTATCCTGTCCTCAGGCCCACTGAAGCCTGGCATCTTGTCAGGTCATCGTAAACTATTGGGCATAAGATAGTCAAGTAAGTTGCTTCAAAATCCAGAGCCATCTCAGGGGTAAGAAATGAACTCCGGATGCCTGGATTCAGGGCAGCATCTGAACGCACAGACCATTTTGGTGTTGCATGATTTCTCCCCCACTCTGACCCACGCAAGTCTTCCCAGCAGTGAAGACATCAGTGGTGACCTGTGAGATGTTCCACCAGTGATGGGCGAGGCTAAGACTTGGCCAGTTTGGTTCATTTCCTTGTATTCAGATGACAGAATATTCCAGAAGGTAGAAAGTCAAGTAGGCCAACCCAAGGAGAACTGAAAACCACCTCCAGCTTCACATGTATTTGGAAAATCTCTCAGAGCAATATGAACCCTGCAGATTCATTTCTAGGGAAGCAAGGCCTTGGGTATAGCAGAGAACAGAGCTGGAGGTGTCTTGGTGGTCATTCATGCTGCTTGCTTGCTGCTATCCCTGTTGGACCCTGGTCCACGCTTCTTGGTCCACATTGTATGCCTCATTCTGAAGACCACCTGTTTTCCTCACTCCTTCAAAGCCCCTCTAACACACAGGTCATGTGCACGAGAGACTTCCACTAAGATTTGGGAATACTGGTGGGCTGGCTACATGCAACAAAGGCTGGGACAACCTAAAGTGAAATAGTAGAAATTTCTGCTCCCAGATTCATATTATCTTATTAGGCAGAGTAAACATTTTCACTTTTCGGAAAATCTACATATTGCATACAGAGGCTGAGACTTGCAACAGTGACTCTTGTCACGCTACCACCACACCAAGCATGGACTTGCTTACAAGACATCAGAGCCTTCCTACGTACCTGACGCACAAGGAAAGTAAAGTTAGGATAAAAAGAGCAGAGCTGTGTTTACAGAGCAGAGTAAAATCTAATCGTCAATTTTCCTGAGAAGTGGTGGGGTGAATTAATGAAAATAGTCAATAAGACGTAAACGAAGTATGGGTTTAAAAATCCACCATCAAGTTTTAGAGACAGCAAGGGCTCTGATTAATAGGCCCTTGAATTTGATCTCAGGGAAGGACAGCTATGCCCTGCGGTGGCATACTCCTTTGTCACCCACGTCAGAGACAAAACCAAGGGCTGGTGAGAGCCCTGGGTCTGAATTCAGGTGGAAAGTGCCCTGTTCTCCTAACCAGTCTGCCTGTGGGTGTCATAGAATGTTTTGGGGGTGGAGCGTCCTTGGATGGAGAAGGCAATGCAATGCCCTGCTGCACGCACCCTCAAGCGTGTCTCTTACCGGTTGGCTGGCCCACGGCTCTGGCTGAATTCACCTCCCTTCCTATTCAGTTATTGCTCCCACAAACGGTCTAGAAAAGGACAGCAAATGAGCACGGCGACTCTCTCTCCCTCTCTTTGTTTTTTTTTTTTGGTGGTACTGGGGTTTGAAGTCAGGGCCTCGAGCTTGCTAGGCAGTCACTCTATAGCTTGAGCCATTCCACCAGCCCACGACTGTCTCTCTTTAAAGCCCTGTGGCTCTCCGGAGTCTGCCTGGCAGTTGGGCCATCCTCCCACCAATTCGTGTCCCTCTACCTGAGGCAGCTTTTGCTAATTTTCTTCTGTTCTCAAAGCTGACACCTCTTTTTCATCTTCACAGCTGGTGGCTTCCCTTTCACTGAGAATGTAGCAATAACCAGTTGGGTACCACTGTGCTCCCACACCTGTGAACTTGGTCTTCTCGCCTGTAAGTGGAGGGACTGTCCCTGTTCCTAACAGAGCCCTGTCCCCAGTGGGAGGCAGCTCTCACTTGCCTCACTGGTGGTCAGTTATGTAGAGAAGTTGTTTTCCCAACATTTTCCTTTCCACCACCTCATTCTCACCCCTGTGCAAACACCTCATTTCTCCTTTTATAAAGTTACTTTTTTGTTCCAGTATCATCTCCAGCTGCCATCTATCTCTTTGTTCACCCTCCTGCAGACTCTCTGGAATGCATGTCTGCACCCTCTCTTGTCCCTACCCCCTTGGCAGTCAGGTTTGTTCTACACTACCCCACGCCAGGCCACGCCATGCCACAGCACACCATGGACCTGTGCTGAGTCCACGATGATCCCCACGCTGCTAACTCCAGGTCGGCTCTTGCTTTGTGTGGTTTGTTCTCTTGGCACACTGATGTGGTGCATGGTTCTCTTCTCCTTGGAACGCCTCCTCCCCTATGGGTCTGTGCTCCCTCCTGGGTAATCCCATCTATCTGCAAGCTAACAATGTCTCCCGTGCTTGCCTCTTCAGCCCAGCTCTCTGCCCTGAACTCCATATTCAGATGGGAAGCTGCACGCTGGACACCTCTCCCAGGACATTCCACGAAGCTCGTTTCTCAATTGGTAACTCACCTCCTGATGCCCTCCCCTCTGCAGCATTTCCGGCTGTGTTCAACAAGCTCCATCCGTCCAGCACTAAGGCCCAACACCTGGAGCCAGCCTTGTGCTTCTCTCAAACTCCATGTCCAGTCTGTCAATAAACCCTGTTGACTTTCTCCCCAAACACACCCATCATGCCTTCCTGGACAGTGTTCCTAATTCCACCTTGTTCCTTTCTGCCCCTGTTCAACACTCACCAGAGCAATCCCAGATGTAAATCACAGCCTTCCAGTAGCTTCTCTGAAGTGCTTATCCCTCAGACAAACTCATGGTTTACACCCTCCCCTCATCTGGCTCCATTTACATGTGACATTGTCAGAGAAACTTTTCCTGCTCACCATAATTAAAATTGCAGTTGCCCAAACAACCCCTGCCTGCTTGATGTTTCTCTGTGGCACTTTTCAGCATGTGACATGTTGTGTGTCTTTTATTTATGGTGTTTATTATCTGACTCACATGACCAGCCTGCACATCCCACGAGGCCAAGGATTTTCCCTGTTTTATTCATTGCTGCATCTGCTCTGCCCGAACATTGCTCGGCGTGTGACAGGTGCTCAGGAAGTGCTGTGTGAAGGAGTAAATGAAGGGGACTGGGGGTAAGGAGAACTTAGAAGAGCTAGGTCTTGTTCACTGAATCCAATTCTCCTCGTTTATGCACTGCTGAGCAAATCACTCAGCATCTGTCTGTGCTAGTTATGTGTAAAATGAGGCAACAATATCCATTTGGCCAACATTGCTTGTCAGAACTAAATAAAACAACACTTTTTACATTGTATGACACGATCATGAACTAACTTAACAGTCCCACTCAGAACGTGAGAAAAAGCAAGGTAGGGCTGGGCCAGCCCGAGGTGTGCATCCTAGGTCCTCTGACCCGTTTAGGACTTTCCTTGGGGAGATTTGCTGCTTTACTAGTGCTGATGGGTGTTTTCAGGTTTTTTCTTTTAAGACTAGGAATGTGGGTAGTTGACTATAAAGTTCATTAGGTAATGTGGAACTTTTCAGAGAACTTCACAATCCTTCTAATAAGTTTGTAATTTCCAGGAAGAATCAGGAAATATTCCACAGACTGATAATTCTGAAACAAAAAAATTTGCATCTAAAATTGAAATTATCAAGTGACCTAGTTACTAAGCTTGCCTTCCTTCCTCTACCTTAGTCACCTTTATATGATCTGGCGTGTGTTGGAGGAATAAGGCTTGTGGCGAGGCTGTTCACCACACCACCCCCGTGGGGGTGAAGAATGAGCGAGCACTGACTGAGGGGGAGCTGAGACCCGGGCACTGGAACGTCAGGGACCGACCCGCTTCGGTGGCTCAGAGTCTGCGCTTCCTAACCTGTGGGAAGAGGGCTGGGGGCTCTACAGGTGAGAAGTGACTTGGAAATTGAAGAGAAAAGCTCTGTGACTGTCAGTGGGTGGGACAGAAAGCCACTTCTTTACTGGTGAGTTTTGTTTTGTCTTGAAACTTTTGAAGCATCTTATTTCTATCGCCTTTATAAGTTGAATGCTTTGAAGGTTAAGGAGCTTGGTGGTTCACTTCATGGGGCCTTACGTTGAGTGAATACTTACTTATTCAGATTCCTTTCATCATGGTAGAGAGAAGAAATGCTAACTTTGGTCCAGTCTCTTGTGTCCCATACACTATTAAAGAGACGTCACAGGAGTCATTTGATGTTATTCTACCCACAATGTTAATTTAGAGAGTGCGGGACACCAGTGTCACCCCAGATGTGGTGGCCGGGGAATCTGTGTCCAGACTCTTTGGACTCCAGAGTGTGTGCTCTTTGTGTCACCCAAAGGAGATACGATCTTTAACTTGCTGTGCCCAACACAGGGCAGTCAGCACTTGGCCAAGAAGTACTGGAACATCGGCAAGGAGTCTAGTAAACTGTAGCCATGTTTGAAGGAGAAGTCATCTATCTGAGCTTCACCAGAAAGAAGAAATGCAGGCTCCTCAAACTCAACCAATGCCAGTGTCCTTGTCACCCGGTACTGCAGCTGTGCCACAGAACCAGGAGCTGGGTGGACCCAACGTGGATGAGGCACAGGAGTGGGCTGACTGTGAGGGAGGTGAGATGGGACCAGGAGAACACAGCAGCCGTGGAGGTAGAGGGCCAGGAGGGAGGGAAGAAGGGAAAAGCCACTATGTGCTGAGGAAAAAGGAGGAAGAAATTTGTAAGCCAGCTCTGTAGGGTGCAAAAGTCCTCCTTAGAACCTGGACCTGTGGACCCACCGTGGGTCTGCTCGGGAGAATTCATGTGGAGTAATTTATCAGAAGTTCTCCTGATAACATCATCTTCCAAGTGAGAGTGACAAACGAGCAGCAGTTGTGCTGTGGTATGGGTTAATGTGTTCATGTCATTTAACATGCTTGCTGTGATTCTGTTCAAGTGACAACATTGATGGCAAATTTAACCCTGATGCCTTCTGTTAGCATCTTAAACCCTCCTGGCCCTACTTACCTGGAAATCTCCCACCGAATAACATCTTGCCCTAAGACAAGCCGAGAAAGAGGAAATGAGCAGAAAAAGACTGTAGCCAAAATAGATACCACAGCCCCTGCCCTCAACCCCGGTGCTCCTCTCCCAGGGGAGACCCCCAGGTGCACCTTTAAATACATGACTCTTATTTTAGGTACAGTTCTGGTAAGCAGGATGGTTTGGTTTCCCAACCCAGTGCTTTCAGAGGCAGAAAGTTAGAGGTGGGAATGCCGGGCCCGGCAGTCAGGCACAGTAAAGGTGACAGGCACTTGGGCTGCCGTCAAGGTGGGGTGGAAACCCCATTCTGAGTCATTACAGCATGATTCACGGAACACGAGCTGCCCAGGGCAGAGGCGACAGTCCCGCATCTGTGACGGTTTTTGGCTTGGAGCTCTGTGCTTTGCTGATGAGAAGGAACCTGTCCCCAGTGGTGGCCAAGAAAGAAGGCAAGGCAGGGCTGAGTGGGGTCATTTTACTAGAAGATGACCTGGGATCGTGTCAGGGCCTGAACACAATATCCACCCATCGAGCCTCACGTGGTGGAGTTGAAATTGTTTAAGATGACTAGCCTCAGTTGGAAGCTAACTAGGAATGACTTCCCCAAGTGCCAACGTTTAGTCATCGCTGTGTTCCTTGGCAAACCACACGAGTGCTCAGTGCATTATACAGAGCTCAGAGGGGACATTGGCAAGAGGCAGATTTCAAAAGCTAAAGATTGTTGCACAGCAGAGAGGATGGTGTGCCTATCAGGACATACGCTCCCTTTTTCCTTTTCAAATGTTCTATTTGGGTGATGGAGTGACAAATTGTGTGTATGAAGAAGGAAAAAGTGGGGCAAAGGAAGAAGAAAGAGCAGGTGGGAGAAGACGTGTACAGAATAACGGTGGAGAGAGAAGTTTGGGTCAGTGTGCAGAGCTGTACAGGTGGGAGCATGATGGCCAGCCAGGGCCGGGCAGCAGGCCAGGTCAGAAGCCCTGCAGGCAGTAAACAGCTGCACTGCTAAGTAAGAATCGCCCACAGCCCTCGGTACAGGGGAACACAGAATTTGGTGTGGGTGGCTTTTGAGCAGCTTCCTCATTTCCTCCCAGCCCCATCTTCTCTGTGGGGCTCAGTGGCACTAGGACCTCCCCCTCCCCCCACCCAGACCCACCCCGAATCTCGAAAGGCTTGCAGAGATCCAGCTTTGGGAGTTACTCGTGCCCTTTGCAGGCCTTCTGGACCCTCCTGCTCAGGTGCGGTTGACCACAGCCCATAGCACCTGCAAGAGACAGGTATTCTGGGTCTCGGCCCCTTCTCAGGCCTGCTCCCTCGGCACCTGTGTGTGGAAACCATCAAGAGGTGATTCAGAGGCACAGTGGCCTGGACATCCTTCCTGTAGGATCCAGAGAGATCCGTTAATGTGAGGTGGTGGTGGCTGTTGTTGCAGCTGTGTTGTTTAAATTTTTCTCCCTGGCACAGAGGTGGGCAAGGCCCTTCTCTGTCCTCGACAAGCAGCTGCCTTCTGTGACTGCCAGTCACACCAGCTTGTCGCTGTGTGGTCACCGCTGTCCCCATGTCATTCTTTTCATGTCCATGGTAGCATTATAAGTCAGTGTGCCCTTCCCGGTCCAACAGAATGGAGCTGAAGACCCTGAATGTGGGCCACTGACCCGTGTGATGAACTAATGGAGGCCCCAGGACATTTGCTTGGCTGCCTCTCAAATTAGAACTGAGACGGTGATGTCCTCATAAGTTTAAGGGAGGAAGCTTTAGACATGATTTATATCTGGGCTTATCCAGTGGAAACTCATTCAAGTGGAGGCCCCAACATAAAAAGAATGTGCGGCTTTCAGTTTTCTTTCTGGTAGATAAGCAGACATTTTAGTAAGTCATTCATTGTTGTTTGTGTATAATCAAGTGAATATGTGATAATAAGTCATTTCCTTTGGTCTTTTTGTTAGTTTGAGTCTTTTCAGATTCTGTAATATACGTTAAAATTATTTGCATGGTTCTACCCACATCCACTGCTGAACACTGTCTGAAAATGGGTGCTCAGTGTCTTCCCTCTGATCAGAGGGAAGCTGGCAGATCAATCCACAGTGTCCTTGGCTGTTTTGATTAATGGAACAGGTGAGAGGCCTGCCACCCTCGCTCTGTGAGCTAGCCCATTATTCTGGCACAATCACTCATGCCCTGGTGGAATAGCTTTATGAACCTTTTAAGTAAATCTGAGGAAAACCAGTTCCACTGGAAGCTGGTTTCAGAGCTAGGAAGAGCGAATTCAGGAACCTGAATCTTCTCGTGAGGTCAGTGTCACCAGCTGATCCTCTTTCCTGGGTCCAGGCAGGGCTCTCATTCACCAATTTGTCCTTTCTGCCACTTCCTGTCTCTGCCTTGTAGCAGGAGAGCAGGTTCTCTGTTTTGGGAATGGAATGAAGCTCTGATCTGGGATCACTCAGTGTCCTTGAGGACGACCTGGTTGTCACCAGGTGCTGTTTCCCTCAGTGCACATCGGTGACATCTGCAGAATCCACCCAGATATTCTCATTGCTGTTCTTAGACATTCTGCTCATTATGCAAACAACTGCCTTGTCAGTAGCACACGGAAAGCAGAGATGTAGACGAGAAACTGCAAGCTATTTAGTGTTCCACTGAGTGTATCGTCGAGTGTGCTGGTCCCAGGCGTGTTCTGGCATGGTTTGCCCTAGTTTCTACTTTCATTTGTACATTTTGATAAGAATAAGGCTGTGTTTATGATGCTGTGTTCAGAGTTCAAAGTTTAAATTTGAGGCCTCAAAGAACATTTCTCAAAGGGGCTGCCAACTTCTTGTTGCCAACTCCAAATTTTGAAAAGCTCCCCGTTTCTCCTGTTAAAATTATAAAGAGAGTGACTATTGACAAAGTGGAATTCATCTTTAATACAGTAGCTGTGACTGGATGTGACCCAGCACAGGACACCAGCTGAGTGAGGGTGGGGTCCCCTCTTCATTCTCAGAATGCTCCCTGGAAAGCGACTGCCAAAAGAAATTGAGAACAGAGAGTTCCAAATGCTCCCTTGGGGGACATCCAGAGGACTAGTCTGCAACCCTGGGAGATGCTCCCCAGCTGCGCTCTGCCCACAGCCTTTCACAGAACCCACCTCCCCCTCACCTAGCCAACCTCCTTTTCTCACTTCCCAGCTCCTCCAGCCATCTATCTTCCGCAGTAAGTCTTTCTAGGGGACTCTTTCCTCCAGAGTGTGAGGTGACTGACTCCTGCCTCTCGCATTCCTCAGTGGGCACCGCGCTCCTCTGGCCGATCACAGAAGGAAGTGCCTACTCCATTCCGGACAGTCAGGTCATCCTCCTTCCTGCCAGCTGAAGCCACAGCCACATCTCTTGGCACAAGCTTTCCTTTCAGTACAACTGAGAATAAGGCTTTTGCTTGCCGGGCCTGTTTGTCCCCCCTTGGTCTCCTGCCCTACCCTGGAATCTGATTTCTGGTGTCACGGTTTCTCCCTTCTCCCCCAGGTGAGCCCTCACTTGCAGAGGGGCAGGGTTCTTGCATCCCAATCCTAGGCGCCATTACCTCTGTTGTGCCAGAGTGACCACCTTTCCCAGTCTGCCCAGGACCGTCCTCGTTTTAACAGTGAACTTTCCACATTCCAGAAAATCCCTCACAAACCAGGAGACTTGACCACCCTGATTTTGGCATCCAGATGGGGAGAAGAGACAGGGGGACAAGGCCCCGGGGAAATGTTGAACTCCAGCCTGCTGGTCGAGGGTCGACTCCCATTGGCCCCTCTGTGGGTAAAGGCGGATCATAAAAAGCCTGGAGTGAGAAACCAGAGCACTGGGTGCTGAAGATGGAAGTTGTTCAAGGGTGCAGCCTTCCTCCCCCACAGTCTCTGTGTCTCTGTTCTCCACAACTACAGCTGAAGTCAGGGGTGGGTCCAGGGTGCTGTGTGGTGGGTGAGAGGCATTGCTGGCTGACCCCTTGGGGTCAATGAAACTAAACTTTTCTCGGGCCTGCTGCCTTCCATAGCTCCATTCTTTTTTGGGAGGAGCCTCTGGGGAATTTTGAGAGCTTTCTCCAGCTGTGGTCTCTGCCTCCTCCACACTCTCTCTTCTTGCCCCCCTGAGCTAGAGATTTCACTGGGACACTCATACTGAGAGTTCATTTTCAACGGTGCAGTGAGCAGGAGAGGTTTTCCATTGTCAGTCTCCCTCAGCAGGTGTTCCTTCACGCACTTTTCTTTTTCCTCCCCTAGCAACCCTGCAGTGGTTTCTGAGTGATGTCCTGGCAACCTTCTATCTTCGATTTGCCCATCTGTCCCACCAGTGTGAGCCGGAGCTCCCTGGTGTCCTGCTGGCTGTCCAAGCTCAGTTTGGAGCCTCCCTGTGTATGGCCATTTCTGCATCCCTCCCAGAGGCCCCACCGAGGGCTCAGTGTGAGACAGACACTCCCTGGATTCCGATCGGGAAAGGGTCGCCGACCCTTATTTTATCCATGCAGAGACGGACACGCAGAGATTAACTCAACAATGACCAAAATAGGGCTGCCTTGACCTAAAGTGATGCTGGGAGTGCCCAAGCATCTGCCATCACACACACCTTCCAAGAACCTGAAACTTATTTCACCCTTAGACCAGAAAGTTGAGGCATGGATCCATGTTGCCATGGTGTGTTGTTTCATTGTTGTGTATTTGTGCCTCAGCTCTCTGTTTTTAAAACTTCCTTTCCATATAAAAATAAGAAAGAAACTTAGAAGTTTCCAGATTTGAAATCACTATTTCTATCCAGAGAGGAAATTTGGCATTATTTTGATTCTCCTTCTCTTGTTTCAAAGTTTTCAAAATATCTCCCAAATGGCGCTTCCTTTCCAAGCTTACCCCAGAAACGCAGGACTGTGAGCCTTGGCTCCTTAGGTTACTGGGTGGATGGATTTGGGGGACTCACCTTACTTTCCCATATTTCAGTTTTCTCACCTGAGGATTGGGCACAGCTGACAGCACCAGTGTTAGGCAGCTCTTTCATGAGGGTCAATGCAACAGCACACATGAGGCACCCAGGCCAACCCCAAGTACCTGCTGTGAGTCGTGGGTGCTGCTGTTGCCTGGACACCCTCCCGTCACACCGTCTGCCTCACACGGGCACCCTGTCTTCCGAGTTGTTCTCCTTGTCTGTTTCAGGAACTTGTTCCCTGTGACAGTCTCTTCACACTGTCACCAAGTTCCAGCTCTTTGGCACACCTTCCAAAGCTCCCCTACCTGGCCTCAAGTGTGGTCCACTTTGGGGCTGTCATCCACCCTTCTAATGTTCTTTGATCCTGATGTGCTTTCCAGACCTGGTGCAAGTCACCCTTCCAGGCTCAGCTCCAACCCTTCCCTCGTCACAAAGCTGTCTCGGGTCCTCAGTGGCTCATCTCACAGCCCCATGCAGCCCACGTTTGCATGGTCCTGTATTCACGTCTCGGTCTTCCTGCTGTCTAAATTCCTTGAAGGCAGGAATTAGGCTGCATACTTGTATTTCAGATTTTGTGTGCTGCACGTGGTAATTATGCAAAAGCAATTTGCAACAGGCCAGGCCTAGAGTAAGAATGCCCAAACTCCCCAAATTGAGAGCTTATGCAGTGAACATGAAGGTATACAGCTGGAGGTCTTATGAAATCCGAAGTGTGAGTGTTTGCACAGCTTGTAATTCCTTCCACAGATGCATCTTCATCTCTCCTAGGAGTTTGCTGACATAATTGATGAACAGGTCTTCTTTATATGGAGGAAAAGATATAGACCCGAGCCACAGGCACAGTTAAGCTGTGCTGGGTTCCGGACTTGGTCTTTCCCCTTTGCTGGCTGTCCAGCACTGTTTTGGATCCTCCCTTGCTCTCAGCACCTGTTTTAGCTGCTGGCTTTTTGGGGGAAAGTCTGTTCTTGCCTTATTTGGTTTTCTGTTTGCTTATTTGTTTCTGTGAGACAGGGGTCTTGTTCCCTAGGCTGTCTTTGAACTCACGATCTTCCTGCCTCCGCCACTGAGATCACAGGTATGTACCACCGTACCTGGCTATATTCTCACTTTTTTTAAACAAAGAAAGTAGGCTTTTATTTTGCTTCATTTTTAATACTCCTTCGTTATTTCAGAAGTTTTGAGTGCCTAATGAACAGTAGGGAACTTAGACCACCACCAAGGCTGTGGTGGCGTCAGGCAGCATCTACCATGAACCGTCATGGCTGGGAGTTGACAGGCTCTCCAGAGGCCTCTCTGCTGGGGTCTTTCAGCATTTGAGGGTACCTGGGAGCTAAGTCATCCCAAAGCTTGAGTGGGAAGGTTGTCCCTGACATCATGTCATCTGGAGTCCTCCACATGGTGTGGGTCCCTTCCCAGTCTGGACTTGGATCCCTTCCCAGTCTGGACTTGGATCCCTTCACACATTCCAACAGCCTGGAGAAGGTCACAAGGCTTGTTATGTCCCAACTCAGAAATACACAATCACTAAGAAGAGTCAAGAAGAGGGAAATTTAGAGTTCACCAGTTAATAGAAAGGGCAATGGATGGATGACCTTCTTTGAAAACTGTCATGAGTCAAAATCTCATTAAGATGCAGGTGAACTGTGATCAACCAGGATCACTCGCCAGGTCTCCATGATTCCAGCACACCTCCACCCAAACCAAAACCTGAGCTTTTCTCTCAGAAATATTACAAATTGCTGCATTACAGATAGGCCTAGCAGCCAGCAAATGTTAGATACAGACGGGGTCCTCTGCCAGCCTCACGCTCACAGGCAGATAGGGACCGATAGGTGTCAGCCTTCTTTTGAAATGATCACAAAGTTGAAACAGTATTGAACTCTGTGTCATCCCTTAAAGAAACAATGTAACAGTGAGGAAGCTGATTTGACAAAAGACTTATTTCTCTCCTTAATTGCTGCTTGAGAATTTCAAACATTTATTCCTGGGCCAGCCCACCTTTTTCAATGGGCTACTTTCCCCTGGAAGTTCTCTTTCTTGAAGGAGGTCCATTTGTACTCTCTACGTAGCAGAGGACTGCCTTTCATTCTGTGCTCTCTAGGGCTTCACAGAAGGAGCAGTCTGTTCACCTTGCTAGAGACGGAGGGCGGGTGAGCTCTGCACCCACAGCCACCTGTCACATTGGGGCAGGAGGTTCCTCAGGATACCCCAACACAAATTTTAACACCTTTTATGGCTGTGACATGAATTTGCCCAACTGTCCCCAGCCTTTGATCTGAACAAAACTTTCTCATTTACTGTGACATTTTCAGACTGCAAAGTCATCACATGGAATGCATGGCTGCACCCTGCGTTTCTCACTCTCCACGTGCCTCCCAGTGCCTGTGCAGATGGGCAGCATCATTTTCAATTTGAGGAAGATTAAATAAAAATGCGGTCTGAGAGGATCTTCACCATGGGGCGTTTTCTAGGGAGACAAAATCAAAACGGGCCTGAGATTCCTCAGCACGATGTGCAATTTGGGTTTTACTTTGAGATAGGCAAAGACTATTGGGGCAAAACCTCAGGAAGAACTGCAGAGCCAGGGAACGGTGGTCGCAGCTGTTCAAATCCATGGCACTGGTCTGGACTGCACCTGGCGCAGGCCTGGGAGCACTGAGTCAGGGTCTGAATTCTCTGTGGTCCATTTGCTGCCCTGGGTAGAGAAGGGGATGAAGGGAGGTGGCCACTCTAGGGCCTCAGCCCCCTCTCTGCCTTGGGTGTCTAGCTTTGGCTCCTTGTTTCCAGGGAAGCAAGTGAGATGGAGCCTTCTCCGTCCAGGGCCTTGTGTGCAGCTGCCCCCTGCTGCTCTGCCCGACCCGCCAGATTCCTGTTTAATGCTGTCTTTTGATCCTTAGTAAATCAGGTCTGTTTTTATTTAGTTTAATTTTCCAGACAAGTCACTTCCAGGGCTAATGCTCTATAAGAGGTTTGCTTTCTCACTGCATGTAAGGCTTCAAGAAGGTTCAAGGGAACGCTGGGTAGAAAAGATGGGGCCGAGGAGACAGATATCCCAGTGCTTCTCTGTGTGGCCAGCAGGCTTCCTGGCGTGCAGTCTTTTAGCAGCTTCTGCTTTGTCTGGAAGCAGAAGCCCCAGGCGCTGGAGGAGGGAGGAGAAGGGTGAAGGGCAGAGGGAGGTGATCTCTGCCTTCCTCCCTGTTGGTGATGGACGTTCCAGGGAAGGGAATGAAGGCATCCCAGAGAAGAGCTCCTTTCACAGGGCGGAGGGCTAGGCCACACAGAGCAGAGGAGAATTGTAGGCTTTGTCAGAGAACATTGGTGCAGGACTTTTATCAAAGGTAGGGACAGGGACGGCTTGTGGCCACAAGTCTGAAAACAGCTCACCTTAGACAGAGAAAGGCTCTTCCTGTGTAGGGTGAAGAGCAGACATACAGGGACACTCAGTTTTGGCAGAGAAGCTGGAACAAGCTCTGGGAAATGACAGGGGTCTGGCTGGACAAAGGTCCCACTGTGGCTCCTGTGGTCCCAGGAGAAGCTGAAAAGAGCACTTTTTTTGTCACACTCAGGCTTGGGGATCTGCAAGACAGAGAGGTGCTGGGGAAGTGCTGTCAAGTGAGCTGTGCGTGGGTGGTTAGGACACCTGGGCGGCAGCAGGAAAGGAGACCAAGACCCCCTAGGAAGTGAAAGTGTGGGCACCAGCCCTGTTCTGTATTGCTGCTGGGTCTCTGCTGTGACGCCTTCCGTGTTCCCTGAGAACTGGTGCACGGCAACCCGGGTCTGAATAACTTCATGATTCTGCAGTTCTTATTTTATTTTGTAAACCACGTGTACCTAAAAATGAGTCCTCCTTCTTTGTGTCCCTCGATATGACTAATGGCAGGGTGGTGTCATGTCCTCATCTGCTATCGTGAGACGATCAGGAAGCCTGGGCTTTAGGGACTCAGCCTTGATCCCAGCTGTGCAGTGACACAGCCGTGCTCCTGGAGAGGCCTCGTCTCATGCCACTCAGCCCCAGCTGTCTTGCCTGCTCATCCTTCTCTCCACAGCGCTCCAGCCGCAGCCACTGTGGGCTTTGTTTCCAAGTGGACGAGATGGGGATCTGGGGAGGGGTCAATGTCCTTCCTACAGCTGCACAGCTGTCCAGGTGGAGCAGGACAGAGTCCAGGCTTCAGAGCCTACTTCGAGCTCACAGGTCACTCCAAATGCTCTCAGGCCACTCGAAAGGCGTTCCCCTCCCAGAGGATTTTGAGTACAGACTCATGCCACACATGGGAAACAACCCAAAGACTTCTTTGAGAAGTGACAAAGCCATGCTCTCCCTCTTTTGTCCACTTGGCCATTGGTTGGCCTTCGATCCCAAGAAGGCCTCTGGTTATTATTTTTTTGTGTGACTATTTTACAACCCACGGGATATACATGGTTAACCTTCTAAATTTGG